CGCCGCTTCAACGAACCCACCTCACAGTTCTATGCCGCCGAAATCGTCCTCATCCTCGAGTTCCTGCACGAGCGCGAGGGCGTCGCCTACCGCGACCTCAAGCCCGAGAACATCCTCATCGACGCCGAGGGCCACCTCAAACTCGTCGACTTTGGCTTCGCTAAGAAGATCGAGTCGCGCGAGACGTACACACTCTGCGGTACGCCCGAGTACCTCGCCCCGGAAGTCATCCGCAACACCGGCCACGGCACCGCGGTCGACTGGTGGGCGTTCGGTATCCTCATCTACGAGTTCCTGGTCGGGCAGCCGCCGTTCTGGGACCAGAACCCGATGAAGATCTACGAGCAGATCGTAGAGGGCAAAGTGCGCTACCCATCTGCCATGTCTCAAGACGCGCGCAACATCATCGCGGGGTTGTGTGAGGTAGACGTGGCGAAGCGGTTGGGCAACGTGCAGGGTGGCGCCAGCACGGTGAAGTCGCAGCCGTGGTTCAAGAGTATCGACTGGGATGCGCTGTATCATCGTAAGATGCAGGGGCCGATTGTGCCGCATCTGAAGAGTGCGGACGATACGCGGAATTTTGATGACTATGATGCGGAGCCGGTGCATCGGGACCAGTATACCAAGGTATGTCGCACGTATGCTTGCGTTCCAGCGCGCTTGGGTGAATACTGACATGTGGTATCAGGAGATGCAAGCGAAATATGAAGGCGCGTTTGCCGGCTTTTGAGACACCAACGATACCCGGACTGTTTGGCGATGTGGCTTTTATGGTGCGAGGAAAGGCAAGCGTGGCGTTCAGGTGTGGCAGTAATGTGAATATCAGCAGGCTACGAGCATGTTTGGACGAGCCTTTGGATGAGCTCATAAGCTATGCGCGATCGTACAGTGTACAGGAAGAGATTGTTTCGGTCATGGGCCTGTTGGAACCCGTTCGGTAAGCGGCAGACCTTGTGATTACAAGCACACGATCTCTTGTGCAGACGTCTACAATCTCGTCGGATGACTGCGTCCGAAATAGGCCGGATCAGTGTATGCAGAGCCTGCTGTTAATTCGATGTCGGGGAGATGGTCTCGCAGCACGTGACCTGGTTGGTGTCCTTCCCAATGCGGCATGTCCAGAATCCCAAAGCCGCGGCCGTGGAGTGGTCCCTGATGAACCCCGCATCCTCTGCACGAACTATGATGATGGGGCGGCGGAGCTCGGCTTGCGCCGGTTGTTGCGACTAGGTATATCGACGACCTTCTCGACCCAGTCCGGCAGGATGATCAGACGAGGCTCATCGAACCACACTTGGTTCATACCCGCCCATATACATGTACCGGCGGTGATGCTTGGACCCATGAGGGCGCTGGCAAGGAATGTCGCTACGGGCTTTGGGTAGCTGGAAGGGGCGGAGACTGCCGTGGTACTCTTCTCGCACATTGTCAGCAGCAGCAAGAGGGTTGTTGACCAAAGCACATGATCGGGGACCGTCGGAGGTATGGCGATGAGATATGAGCGTGGAGAGATATTCGGGGTCTGACGTTTTGGTGCACAGCCAGCACTCCTTGAGCAGACGGTACCCGAGCACTTCGCTTCCATTGTCCGGCAATATGGCGATCGAACAGCGTATGGACATACTTGACCCGGCGTCTAGTGGCAGTAGTTGACCATCAGCAGTGTCATCAGTCGCCACCAGCGCGCTCAGCTTTCCTACGACGAGCTCGATCGGAAGAGCAACGCTCTGGCAAGAGGATTGCAAGGAATCGGTGTCAAGAAGGGCGATCGGGTAGCCGTGTCGCTGGGAAACAGCGTCGAGTTTGCCATCTCGACGTACGCCCTCTTTAAGCTAGGAGCCATCTTGAACCCGTTGAATCCGAGTTTCAACGCTCAGCAAGTCGTCAGCGCGACCAAACACCTGGATACGAGCCACTTGATCATTGGGGCTGAGACGAATCTGTCTCGGAAGCCGCCCAGGAATAATGTGCAGCTTTTGGAGCATCTTGCTCCGGGCTTACGAGGTGGGAAGCTGGAATCGGAATCGGTGCCTTCTTTAAAGGAGATTATCCTTGTGGACAACTCGTCCGGCAGGGTGGATACAGCGGAGCTGAAAGCCACGGTCCCTTTCGAGGCTATCCTCGCTGGCTCTGGACGAACGCTCCCGGATCAAGGCTTGCACAAAGACGACGTCGTCAACATCCAGTACACCTCCGGAACCACAAGCACGCCCAAAGCAGCCTGTCTGTCCCACCGCTCAATCCTCAACAACGGCATGCAAATCGGCGATCGCATGCTCCTTACCCCCTCAGACATCGTCTGCTGCCCACCCCCACTCTTCCACTGCTTCGGCTGCATCCTAGGCTACATGGCCACCGCCACCCACGGCTCCGCCATCGTCTTCCCAACCGAAGCCTTCGACCCCCTCGCCACCCTCAAAGCCGTGCAGGAGTACAAAGCCACGGCCCTCTACGGCGTCGCGACCATGTTCCTCGCCGAGCTCGAACTCCTCGCGGACGGCACCGTGCCTTACGAAGGCTTCCAGCACCTCCGCACAGGAATCGCGGCGGGGAGTTCGGTTCCCGCGGAGCTCATGCGGAAGTTACACCGGATCCTCAACCTGCACGACCTCACGATCTGCTACGGCATGACCGAGACGTCCCCCGTGAGCGTCATGACGAGTACCCACGATCCGATCCAGAAGCGCATCGAAACCGTCGGACGCCTGATGCCGCACGTCGAGGCCAAAGTGGTGGATGTGCAGGACCCCACGAAGACCCTAGGTCTGCACGAGCGAGGCGAGCTGGCCGTATCGGGGTACCTGCTCATGAAAGAGTACTGGGGCGACCCGGCGAAAACGGCCGAGGCGATGATAGAGGACCACGAGGAGCCGGGGAAAGTGTGGATGTTGACCGGGGATGAGGCGAGTATGGACGAGGAGGGGTATGTGAGTATTACGGGGCGGATCAAGGATTTGATTATTCGGGGCGGGGAGAACATCCATCCGTTGGAGGTGGAGAATTGTTTGCTGGCGCACGAGGATGTGTGGGAGGTTAGTGTTGTTGGGTTGCCGGATGAGAAGTACGGGGAGGTGGTGGCGGCGTTTGTGGTGGCGAAGCCGGAGAGTGGGATTAGTGCGGAGGCGGTGAGGAGGTGGGTTAGGGAGAAGCTTAGTGGGCATCTTGGTGAGTGTTGATTTTACTTGCTATCTGGGTGGAATGGTGGTGAGTTGCTGACATGCTGCTAGTTCCCAAGTACGTCTTTTGGGTTCAGGATTACCCGAAGACGGCGAGTGGCAAGATACAGAAATTCAAGCTGCAGGAAGATGGTTTGCAGCTTCTAAAGGAGGGTAAAGGCCTGCAATAGTCTCGATGAGACCAACATCGGCTTTGCATGCTGCTCGCGAGCCATTCCGAACGAAGACGCGTGGTAAACAGTTATTCAAAAGATGAGCTGCCACCTTGTTCCAGATAGGCGCATTGTCCGTCACCTGCAGCTATGCTTGCCCGAGCTTCATCCAGCCACAGCTCGGCACCCACTCTTCTACTTGCATCTCGAAGGTCACGCAGACTCGAACACTTGATGCGTCCATGGCGACATTCCCCGTAATTGACTTGGCACCCTTCTTATCACCCACCAGCACGCGCAAAGAGAGACGCGCCGTAGCCCTCGAGCTTGACCAAGCGTGCAGGAATGCCGGCTTCTTCTATCTGAAAGGCCACGGCGTGCCGCAGGACCTACTGGACAATGTCCGTCAACATGCTATCGACTTCTTCGAGACGACTTCGGAGGACGACAAGCAGCGCCTGGCGCTCAGGTCCGACGATAAGGCCAGAGGGTACTCGAGGCATGTGGATGCGGAGAAGGGTTCACATGAGGTATATCGGGTCCGATACTTCGCCGGATTCGACCGAGTATTGACTGCGCAAGGCATTGGACTTCTATCGACCGGTAGAAGCGACCGGAAGTCCGTGTGGTGTAGGCCAAGGCGTCAATCAATGGCCTACACAGCCCGAGGACTTCCGCTCCGTGGTCGAAACTTACGTCGAGCGCATGGAGAATTTGGGTAGAGCTGTGATCGAAGCTCTCGCGCTCGCTCTCGGTGTTGATGCCAAACTCTTTGTCAGCCGAGTCGATGAAGCGTTCTGGCAGCTGCGGATGATCTATTACGATAGACAGACGTCCCCGGTCTCAGCGAAAGCTGGCATCGGGGAGCACACTGGTGAGGCCTCCACGAAAACGCATCCCTTCCGACCTTACCGCTGACAGCGTATGCAGACTTCGGCATCCTAACTTTTCTCTTGGCCGACTCGACCAAGGGCTCGCTGCAGGTACGCAGCAAAACCGGGGAATGGATGCGCGCCGACCCAATAGAGGTGAGCTTCATCCAACCCGACCACCAGTCAATTCTGCCGTACTGATCGAGGGGAGCTAGGGCGCCTTCCTCTGCAACCTCGGCGACATGCTCGCCGAATGGACCCGCGGCGCCTACAGATCCACCGCTCACCGCGTAGTCCACGTCTCCGACGCGCCTCGGATTTCGATCCCGTTCTTCTTTGATCCGAATTGGGATGCTTTTATCGAGCCTGTAGTGCCCGCTCGGGATGGAGAGACGGAGGGGCGGTATGTGGGTGTCAGGTATCGGGACAGATTTGTTGGAGCGATGGAGGAGGCGCTGGTAGGTGTTGCGGCGTTGGTGGCGTGAACATCTGACGGATAGGCCTCGAATGTGACTCCTCCTGAGAGCGATTCATGTTGTGTTTCTTTATCTGCTAGGGGCGGCATCTCGAAATCAACCGAGGACCGTCGCGATTGTACGTAAGGTAGCATGCATCCATGCACCCTGAATGTACTCGAATTCTCAGAATGCTGCCTTCGTTAAAAGTCAAGAACAACATTTGAAGGGAACCAAACGAAACTACATAAAGACATCTTCTTGACAGAGCACACCCAAAATGTATCGCAGATGCACAACACACCGAGTACGTGATGAAGTGTTCCTTCGTAGGGCCAAAAGGAATGAACCGTACCCGATTTGAACGGATGACCTTCTGGTATTTCCATATCTGGAATCAGACGCGCTACCGCTGCGCCAACAGTCCATTGCGGAAATCGAGAGCTCAAATTAATCAATATATTCCCTCAATTAATTCTGCCCAGAATGTGCCGGACTGCCTCCCTCATGACTGATTGCAAACACTCTCGCAACAGCGCCATAAACATGCAGACGCTACTTTGACGCGACGGACGACGCCAGCACGTTCAATAAAGGGATTCCCTCGTTCTCCCACCCTTATCTAACACGAGCGGCCTGCCTCCCTACGCAGGGTATCCCCATCCTCAGGTTCCCATTTCTTCCCTTATCCGCACACAACGCCGCATGTACACTTACACCCTACTCCAGTATCTGCATCCAAAGTCAGTCAACGCCCGTACGCAGGCGGACTGCCGATACATGCCAGCATCAGCTTTTCGTAGTCCCTACACGATGTCAGTCAGCGCGAAACTCTTCAGAGGCGATGCTTATGCGCAGTACTTACCCGCTCGTCTCGCCGCGGATCCTGTGGGCTAGGTCCTGCTTGTAGAAGTGCTTGTAGGCCGCTTTGCACTGTTGGAGGCGGTCGGAGCTCCAGTGGATCATGACCTTGCGCGTAATGTTAGCCAACGTCTGAGCCCGCAAGGAGTGAGCCTCGTGGGTTTGATGGACGTACGATTCGACGAATGAGCGCTTTGTCGTTCGTGCCGAGCCCTTTCATGGCGTTCTCGAGGAGATCCGCATCGTGCTTCGCAGGATCCTCGGCCGCGCCGACGGTGAAGCACAGCGCCTGCTCCATGTGGCCCGAGAACTCCTTCCGAATGACTTCCTGCAGCGATCGGTGGTACCGCTGCTGGTACGCCTGTGCGATCGCTCGAAGTTGACCATTAGAACGTGCGGTCAAGATACTGCAGACTTGCATCTGGTCTGCACCCGCCCGGCCCTCGGTCGCGCGGTAGATCTCCTGCACATCGGCGTCGATCTGCTGCGGGATGATGGGGGTGGACTCCTCGGCTCTCCGGGCGGACATGATCATGTCGAAGAGACGCTCTGTTTTCATCGAGAGGTCGCCTTTGACGTCCGCCTCGACGGTGCGGCGGTACATGTAATGGTAGCGCTGTTTGATGGCGTGTAAATCGGCGTTGGAGCGGGCGAGTAGGACGTCGTTCATCGCGCTCTCTTTGGTGCCCAAGCCCTGGATGGATTGGTGCAGCTCGTGGCAGTCTTGATCGAGTGGTCCACGGAGGATAGCCATGAGGCCCTCGCGGAAGTGGCCCGATGTCTCGCTGTGAACGTCCTTCTCCAGGTCGCGCCTGTGGCGAGCTTGGAACGCAGCTTTCACGCTGTTGACCTCGAGCGGACCGAGGGAGCCAAGGACTCGGACGAGAGCTTTTTCGTCGGTACCGAAGCCCTTCATGGCGGTCCGCAAGTCGTCCGCGGCGCGGGACATGTCCATGTGCGACTGCTGGCCGGGAATGTATCCGGGTGATGGTGGGGAAGGAGCAGCTGGTGGGCCGCCATAGCCGGCTTGAGGCGGTGGTGCTCCATACCCCTGGCCTGGTGGGGGACCACCGTACTGGCCGGGCGGAGGCTGATTATATTGACCTGGTGGAGGCTGACCGTACGGCTGTCCATAAGGAGGCTGTTGGCCCGGTGGAGGACCTGGAGAGGCACCGTATGGAGCGTTCTGGGGTGGATATGGTGATCCTACTGGCGGACCGTAACCTTGCTGATAGCCTTGGTTCATCGGTGGCGGGTAGCCTTGCTGCTGAGGCGGATACTGGGAGTCTGTTCCGAGTGAGCCTCAGTAACGCGGAGAGTCTCGATGCAGGGCTCGCAGAAGGAATATAGGGCCGTTTTCGACACTTACGTGATTGCTGATATGGAGGCCCTTGAGGCTGACCCGGGTAGTACGACATGCTTGAGAGTCGTTGAGCTATGGAGATAAAGCAGGCTGTAGCACTGTTGGTTGGTGCTCTGGGGGTCAAGCCACCGTGTATAAAGAGAGATCTGAGGAAACGCCACAACCAGGTCGTGACGATGAAAAGTAGAATGAAAAGCTGCAATGTTGAGGTCGTCACCCCGTGGCTGTGCGCCTGCACTCACATAACGACAAGAGTCGTCAAATCTTCCAGGAAGGTGTGTCCCTCAGCCAAGCCGTTGCTAAGAACTCAAGGCCGTGGGGCTGTGTACATTTACTGTGGAGGAGCGGCAGCACGTGGGTTCATCTCGTGCTCTCCGATCTCGGTTGACTTGACAGGCTCCAGCTTGCGAGTACAGCTGCGCGTGACTGTCGTGAAGGGTGCTGCGCTTTGCCACTCACTGTACGGTACATATGGAGGCTGAGAGGCTGGGCACCGGCATATCAGGCCCGCGTGCTTGGCCATACCTCGTCGGCGGGTACAGGCACATGGTATGTACGTACATGTTCGCAGTAGCATCGATCTCGGCACCGACATTACTTGGTACTCGGTAAGGTATGTGTCGGCTCTGGGAGTATTGGTCCCGGCTGGGCATCTCTTCGTCTGTTCGGCTGTCTCGTGATGTTGATGATGATGACGAGCAAGTGTCTGCCTCTAAACCCTTCTAGTCCCTTCCGCGCACGTAATAATGCTTGTCTCTGTGTCATGCGCGCAGAGACGAAGGTTGCATGTACATCAAATGTACTCGTCAAAGGCCAAGCGGGCGTCAGCCACCACCGCCGATATCACCTCACCCTTTTGTTCACTCCGAGTCTCCGATATAAAAAGAGCGCAATAGCCTTGGCAACACATCGCAGCCTTGGGCCTTTTCTGACCGGCCGCACGCCCCATCGCACACTCACCGGTACAAGTAGACAGCCCCATACCCCACGCACCCTCTCCCTCATCTCCCGCGTATAACAACCCCAAGGACTGCGCACTCGACGTGGTCACCGATCAACCCATTTACCTCATATCAGCCCTCACCCAAGGAACACATCACACAATATGGCCTCCTACGAGCAACCTCACTACCAACCACAATACGACCAGCAATACCTCCCACCATCACCACCAGCCGTACGCTCGCGAGGCAACTCCACAGCATCAGCGCGATATATCCCCGAAGCCTACCAACCGCGACCCCAACAAGCGCCACCCTCCCACCAACAATCCCCAGGCTACCCCTACCCCTACGGCCTCCCCACCTCCCGCGTCTCGCCCACAACACCCATGTCCTCCTACCGCGGCTACCCAGACTCCCCTCCCCAACACACACCTCTCGAGCACACCCTCCACCCCCACAGCGCCTCCCGACCTCCCTACCCCACTAGCAACACCGACCCCTACATCACCACCGCCTCACGTCCCATCCACGAAGCGCACGAGAGACGACCCAGCCACAGCTCCCAGCGCTCGCGCAAGTCCCACGACTCGCACCGCTCGCACAAAAGCCATCGGTCGCGTCACTCGTCGGATGACGGGCGCGAACGGGACAGGCATTCGCACGAGCATGAGCATACGCATCATCAACATCATCATGATAAGAGAGAGGGGACGCATCGGCGGCATAGTGAGTATGACGGGACAGCGCTGAAGCGGCACGAGACTCATAGGCCGACGTTGGGGGATACGATTTATTCGCTGTTTGGGGGGTTGAAGTCTTATCTTACTTAGTGAGGGCTTGCGACGGGTGTTGGATTACGACATGAGATGATCTGGTGCCGGAATGGCAGCGAGGAGGGACTGCGGTTAACGAAGCGAGAGGTTGACGTTGCGATGAATCTACGAGATATCCCCGGGACTCCTGTTAGTTGACGACGGTCTGGCGTTTCATTTTGCTACAATAATGAGCATGATTCTTTCATTTGGAACAATAAGTAACACAGCGTGAATTACGTTGAGTTAATATACATAATGCCATACGCGCTCAGCCAAAGCAAACATTGACTCGCAAGCCACGCAAACTTGAAAGGCATCTCCACCACACCAAGCCGCCTGTACCAAAATCCTTCAGCTCAAAGACCAAACGACCAAAGCAGGACCAACCGTCCTCGGCGACCCACCCCTTACGGGTTAGCCGCGTTCGCGCACGTCGTGGGCTCATCAGCACCGCCCGTCGTGTTAGAAAAAGCATAGCTATACCCAATGGTATAATGATCATTGCCCCGCCACTGCCCATCATTCGTCGCATAGCTCGCCGGCCACGTCTCATTGTACAGCGAGCAGTACTGCCCCACGCTCTGGCTGCCATCGTACAGCACATACGTGTTGAAGAACTGGCACGTCATGGCCTCGCCGCTGCTAGGCGGGTGCGCGAGATTGTACTCGGACTGCGAGGAGCAGGCCGCGGCGCAGAGGCCGGCGTCGAAGGGGCCCGAGGTGAAGATCTTGACGCCCATGTAGGTGTCATGGCCCGCGCAGTCGAGGGGCGCGTTGATGGCGGCGTTGCCGAGGGGGACGGGGCCCGAGTACCCGGTGGGAGTCGCGATGCTGTTGTTGACGTAGCCGTTGGAGCCCGCGATCACGACGTGGAAGTCGTAGCGCCATTGGCCGTCGTTGGTGGCGGAGGAGGCGGTGACGGGGCCGCCGTAGTAGACGCATTTGATCACTGTGGAGCTCGGGGGGTTGGTGCAGGTGCTGGTTGGGTCGACACTGGGGTCGCGCTCGTAGTCTGGTGGTGGGTTAGTAAGGTGCTGCCGGGCTTGGGGAGCTTCGGTGGTACTCACAGATGTTGACGGAGGAACAGCCTTCGATGGCATCGCAGTCGGCGGTGCAAGCGGCGGGATCGTACGAGTTCATCACGGAATATCCCATGTAGCCGTAGATTCCAGAACTGGAACCGGCCTGGTTCGCGTAGGCCAGCGTCCACCCATCCGGAGTAACGGCGCCATTCGCAGCATCGGAGAATGCGGTGTTGCTGGAGAAGTTCTCGGCGGTATCGTCAGCGGCAGGCTGGACTGCGCAGCTCGAATCGTCGACACGCTTCACCATCTTCGGCGTGGTGTCCGTGGGGTTGGCTTGGACGGCAGCGGAGACGGAGGAAGCGGCCTCTGTCGCGGCGAAGGTGATGGTCGTCTGTGCAGCAGCTGCGTTGACGATAGGG